AATAATTTTTTAAAATTTTTATTTTTTTCGGTAAATCCCAAAAATGAGTAATTGATAAATAAAAATATATGAAAGTATGAAAAAAATATTAAATTAACGCCAAAAATTCACAAATAAATATAGTAACCTTAAATTTAACAATTTCAATAAAAAAATTAATTTTTATTTTTTTCAGCAAATCCCGAAAATGAGTAATTTCTTAATAAAAAAAGGAAAAATATATATAAAATTTATGCCAAAAATTCACAAATAAATACAGTAACATTAAATTCAACAATTTCAACAATTTTTTTTAACTTTTATTTTTTTTGGTAAATCCGAAAAATGAGTAATCGGTTAATAAAAAATAGGAAAAATATGAAAAAAAAAATATAATTAAAGCAAAAATATCACAAATAAATATATTAACCTTAAATTCAACAATTTTTCCAATTTTTTATTAATCAATTACTCATTTTCGGGATTTACTGAAAAAAATAAAAAATAAAAAAAATTGAAATTGTTGAATTTAAGATTACTATATTTATTTGTGAATTTTTGGCGTAAATTTTATATATTTTTTTTCATATTTTTCCTATTTTTCATTAATAAATTACTCATTATCGAGATTTACCCAAAAAAATAAAAATTAAAAAAAATTGTTGAAATTGTTGTATTTAAAGTTACTATATTTATTTGTGATTTTTTGCGTTAATTTTATAAATTTTTTTCATATATTTTATTAATCAATTACTCATTTTCGGAATTTACAGGAAATTTTTTTTTAAAAAAATATTGAATTTAAGCTTACAATATTTATTTGTGAATTTTTTTGCGTTAATTTTTTTTTCATATTTTTCATATTTTTTTTATTAATCAATTACTTATTTTTGGGATTTATCGAAAAAAATAAAAATTTAAACAAAATTGTTGAAAACGGGTTGGGTAGTTTATTTAAAAGGGGGTTGATTTATGGGTCGGATTAGGTGTTTATGGGTCCGAATTTTTTAGGGGCATAATTGATCCTTTTCCATTTTCATAAAATGCATGTGACAAGGTCAAATGGACATGACAATTTCATGTGGCATTTAAAGAAATGGAAAATGAGTTGGATATGTCCAGCAGACCAACTAACGCTCATAAGGGCATATTTATGCCAAAAGTTGGATGGCGAGGACATGAGTGAGCTAAACTTTAAATGAATGATATATGTAGACCTTTTCGAATAGTTTAGGGACATATTTGACCCTTTTCCCTTGTAAAAGTGTCATTACTTTCATATCTGCAATTGTGTGGAAGCATTTGTCAGTCCTGGACCATTTTGACTCTAGTCAAATAAAATTCAAACTTCCATATTCTCCTCCTTTCTTTTGTCTTTAAGAGCAATTTTCAGAAATGATTATTGTTTAATTAGCTCAAATTAACTGCTCATAACTATAGTTTTGGAATTTATAATTGGGACAATGTTTCGATTTCAAGTTGTTGTTTTAACTTCTGACCGAGAGTTTTACTTTTTTTTGTTCTCTTGATAACTCGAACTCATAATCTAAAAATTAAAGTAGAAAGTGTTTACTATCTGAACAATATCTTCGGTCTTCCACCTTGTTTGCATGGTTGTTACTTGTTACTGTTGTATATTGTTAGTTTAAATACACTACGTATATATTTGTTTTGATTTTTATTTAAATTTTATTGTATTATATCGTTTAAATTCATTATTAGATAACGATAAAAAGTTTCATTTTATGTAATAACGACCGGTTTGATGTGATCACGTAGTTATTTTAATATTTTTTTCTCATTTTTGTCTTTACTTATTTTTAAATAATTTCACTATCCCTTAATCTACCTTCTCATAGTAGCTCTATTTCGTACCATACTTTTTCAATAGGTTTCATCATTCAAATTATTTATGTGTGACATTATATAAAATCAGAGAACAATATAATATAACCAAATGTTGTATTCATTAAAAGCAAAATAATGCATGCATTAATTATATGTATTAGTAGTCCCTTGTTTGGTGCATTTTTTCTTGCTATGTATAACTAATGCTTATACTCTCTATTGTGTATTAAGGAGTGTATTACTAATATCATGAATTTCTAGGTATTAGTAATGCAAATGATTTAATACATGCATTACTATGGTTAAAGACCCAATTACCCTTCAAAAGTACTTTTACATCTTTTCCACCATAATTGTGAATGATACTTTTGTAAATAAATTTTTTTATACAATGCATACTATTTTTAATACACCAAACCAAACAATGCATAAGAATTAATCTATGTATAACTAATACAAGTATAACTAATACATGCATTACTAATGCAAACATTACTAATACATTCTATTGGATATTATTTTTATACACTCTACCAAACGACCCCTATCATTCGATATTTTAATACAATACAATAAGCAACAACCGTCCAAACAGAACAGTGCATAATTGCAAAGCATTGGCTGATTTAGAGTTTAAGCGAATTGTTGGTACAATTAATATTTATAGTTATATAGATCACATTCTCATTGAGCCCCAAAATAACGTATTTCAATTTATTCGCCTATTCTTCAGGCACATATGTATTATTTATTACAGTATCATTTTAGTTTAAATGAGACAAAAAAAATGAAACGTAACTATTACTATAGCTTTATTTAATAATTAAGCCTTAAATTAATATGAGTAATTAATAAGCAGTATTCTGGTGGCAGTCCCTGCTCGATATCTGTGCCTATTGAGCATGCTAATATATTGCTATATGTACTGAAACTCACATGTACACTTTTTATTTATTTTATTATTTATTCATCTCATATTAGTTGTCCAGCTTGTTAAATTAAAAATATATATTTAATTTGATATTATTCTTGCAACTAAATATTTTGGAAAATGTTTATATTTATTTATAAAATTTTCAAAAAGTTTTTTAAAGAGTGAATTAGTAAAATTATTTTTTTATTTATGATTTTTTAAGCACAGTACAAAATGAAAAGTGATCAACTGATATATATAAGACGTAGGGAATAGTTTATCACTGTTCTATTTGTTAAGAAGTCCCACATCGGTAGTGGGATGGGAATTTGATCTCCTTAGATGGACTTAGATAAACCTTCCCTCATGAGCTAGCTTTTGAGGTTGAGTTAGTCCCAGGTGTCATATCTTCACATGGCATCAGAGCCAAGCCATCCCAATTTATTGTTCACCGATGTTGGACCCCCATTTAAAAGTGTTCACGCTCTAGTTGAGGTCTGGACGTACGGGGGAGTGTTAAGAAGTCCCACATCGGTAGAGGGATGGAATTTGGTCTCCTTATATGGACTTAGACAAATCTCCCCTCATGAGCTAACTTTTGAGGTTAAATTAGGCTCAGGTATCATATCTTCACACTATTCTCTTTAGAAAGGCCATATAAAAGCTTTTTCCTCTACCAAACAAAAAGAAATGGAAAATAAATATTCATAAAATACAATTCATTTGAGATAAAACATTACTCTATTACGTAAGAAAACGTTGGGCATTTAAAAGGGAGTTACGTTAATTTAATTTGAAATAGTAGAAAAGAGCATTAAAGAGCACATTTGTCAAAATATAACGACAATTTATCATAAATATGACAATTTCTAAACTATAAAAGTGTCTAAAGTTTTTATACAATAAGTAAAAAAAGAAATAAAGGCAAACATAACTACAAATAAATATTCTAGATATGGAGAAGACATCCTTGAAGTTGGTTTATATTATGGCACTTTTTATTGTTGCAAGAGGTTTCTGACTCTCTCTCTAACTACAATTTTTTTCTCCTCGCATGAATTAACGTAATACACACGTACTTATTGTTAATAAATATATGTAGCATGACAAAAATGACTAATGATATTTATTTACAGGTGTTCTAAGTAAAACATTTGTAGGTGGATTAGCATGTTATACAGATGAAGATTGTGCCTACGTGGTTAAAGGTCGCCATTGTAGACCTATTTGTGACTGGGGAGAAATTTGTGACTGTATTTCATATAATGACAGAGAAGATTATCCTACTACAAATACAAATGCAATCCCACCGACAGAGTCTGAATCCTGAAAATGCTAATATAAATAAATACAAATGAAGATCTAAATTTATCCTTTGTTTAAACTTATTTTTCTAAATAGAGATTAATCATATTTGATGAACTTTGTATACGAAATTTATGAATTGTTATGCTATCATTTTTTCAAAAGTTTACTATATGAAATGGATAATTGATTCGTCAATTTAAGAAAAGAGGCCCAAAAAAATGAGGATATAAATACGCAAAACGAAATAAATACAATACTGATCATATTGTACTATGTTATTTAATAATTTTTGTATACGAGATTCATGAATTGTTATTGCTCTATATCAAAATGAAAAAAAATATAGTTACATGAATCTTGAGTTCACAACAAATTAAACAATTTTATTTTAACACGTATAAATTAAAATGGCAATAGATATTACTTCACCTAACGCTATGAAAGTGTCAATAATAAGAATGGTGGTGCTAAACCAAAATTCAATAAGAGGCTTAGAATTTTCACTAAGCATATTTCAGAAAAAATAAGTCATATAATTTTTTGTTTGAAACTAATTTTCTAATCTTTTGAGATGAGTTATTAATTAACTTTTTGTGGGTTGGAGTTGTTGCATTCATTTAATATTTAACATGAGTTCCTTAATCAAGAGGTCTCAGGTTCGAGTCCCCTTTGTTAGGGAGCGTTCCCGATGCAAATCCGGATATAGTCGGGTTTCAATATAGGTACCGGACACTGGATGAGAAACCAAAAAAAAAATATTTATCATGAGTTGAAAGAGATAAGAGAAATGAAGGAAAGAAGAAATTTTCACAGCTAATAGAAACTCTTCAACCCAATTTTACCTATACACATATCATCATATATATTTACAATTCTTGCAGCTATGTTAACACAATTCAAACCAACATTTTTACATTTTCACCTAAACCTGTTCTATATTTACACAGTTTAGCACCATTGTTAAGAAGCTTCTGAATTCGAGACAGAACCAATCGCGGGATTCTCACAAACATTGCACCTGCAAACTGGGCAGACCCTGGAAAACCAGAAAGTAGGAAATCAATACAAAAGTGAGGCACAAGTTACATCTCAAAGTACATAGCAATACACGGAATTGTCTGAACATACCGGTTTACTTCCTTAAGCCATTTATCGATACAATGCATATGATATTCATGGCGACAAGGGAGCACCCTCAGTTTGTCTCCCTCCTCATACTCAGCCAAACAAATGTGGCACCTGCAAAGACATAGTACAGCGTATTAATACAGGGTATATAGTCTTACGGAAATTCATTGTCGTGGCTGAATATTAAGGCTGTCAAGCTGTTCATGTTTTTGCCACTTGAAATTCAAATAGAAAGGTCAAAGACTACAGAACAGAAAATTCTCCCATCAACACTACTTAATGTTTTAAGTATCTGTTACTATTTGTTGTTTCCTTATATCTCAATTATTGCATTGTTTTTGTTGTAGTTTCTGTTCTGTTACTATCTGTCCTTTTTGTTATTATCAGTTGTTTCTCGTACTTCCTTTACTTCTTATTCAGGGACTACTTTGGGTTTTCTTCTCTAAGCTGAGGGTCCATCGAAAACAGTCTCTCTACCTCTGATGGTAGGGGTAAGGTCTGCGCACAGTCTACCCTCCCAAAACTGCACTTTGTGGGACTACACTGGGTATGTTGTTGTTGCAACACTACTTGATGCTTAAATTACATCTTTGAATCAGCAGAAACTTCTGGAAATGGATAATTTGGTGGGGACTGATTTTAGCTTTGAAATATGGCTACCCCAATCTAGTGATCATAAGGGCAAGGTCCACTTAGAGTTGAAACTTGCAAATAACTGATCAAGAGAGATAATTCAGTTATAAAGAACCAGATAGAGCCGTTGATAGATGATAGAGTAATGGATACTCGTCAAAACAAACTGGGAGGAAAGCTCATAACCCTTAAGCCAAGAATCTTCATGATGTTACTAGTGAAGACTGAAGATTGCCTAAGGATCGAAAATCCGGCTATCTTATGTCTAACAACTGGGTAAAAGATAGTTTTATTAGATCCCATTACATCTAACCAAAGAGTCAAATCAATCCAAAGAAGGAAATTTATGTGTCAAAAGTTTAAGAAAAATTATAGAGAGATCAATTATATTTTTATAAGTATTTCACAAGCATGCTAGCTAAGCCATAATTCATGCATGACGAAACTTTAAATTTGATTTTCCTAACAAATTCAAATTAATAACAAACTACTGCAGTAGGAGACTGGAGAATCATAGAACTGACAATATGCATGAACAACTTTCTGTTCTTTTTCTTTTGCTTTCTCTGACTTCTTTTAATCTCTTTGTTTTCTTTTTCTTCAGCGATTTCAGCTACCAAAGCGGAAGACTATTATTTGGAGGGGAGGAGGCAGTGCCAATTACTGACTGCTAACGTATATACCTTAGGAGGCACCATAACTCAAGCAAGCATATCAATTATTCAACTAGTTAAGAAGACATACTGTTGGATATCAGTGGGAGCATTGTCTATAGCTCCTAACTTCTTGTGAGACTTGAGAGGAAATGAGTCCACAACAGAATCTGGAGCTGGAAGCGAGAGCGTAGATAGCGAAAGTGTGAAAGATTGTTGATGGATCTCATCGAGGACCTAAGAAAAGAAACCAAGCCATATCAGCTCAAACTATTGCGATCACATAATAAGGCAAGTGGAGATACCAGAAAGTATTAACAGGTCACAAATTATTGAATGAAAGAAATCAGTAACCGTGAACACCTCATTCCTTTAGCCTTCAATCTTGAAAGTACATTCACTCAGTATCCAGTATATCCCTCTCAATCTGTGTCTACAGTACACTTTTAAGCAGGCACTATGCTATTAGTGCTGAGTGCTGAACAATGTAAAAAAGATTGTTTTCGGAGAAGGTGCTGAACACTGTAAAATTTACTAAGATTCAAGCTTGCACTGAATCCAAACTTAGGTCTCTGCGACTAAGGTAACTGGCAACAATCAAGTGCCTTCGGAATAGAAAACTATGCAAGTTGGATGTATTCACGCTTTCAGCTGGAATTATTATATAGGGTTCTTAATACTGGATAAACTGATGTCAAGCATTTCTACTATGCTCCTTGAGTTTTGTTTACCCTTGGCGATCTATTCACCAAGAAATAATGCAGATGCAAAGTTTCTTTAGGACGGATTAACAAACACCCAGCAACACAGATCAATTAAGAAAAGAAAAATCTTAATTCCACTCTTTTTTCCTGGTTTCCACCCGGTGTCCAATACCTCCAATCAGTAGTCAAGAAAAAAATATATCACACAACACAACTTCCTATTTTAAAAATAATTAACACGGCTAAACCAAACAGGTTGATTCACAAATGGGACAAACTTTTGTAGAGGAAAGAAGATCTCAACCAAAGATCGGTAAACGCCTAATTAGATCTATTTTATTCTAGTTCAAAGACAAGCCAATTCCCAACTTGCAGTCCAAAAAGGAGGGGTCTTACATCCCTCAATCTAGAGTTAGACATACTCCATTGTCAAATAGCACGAGCTGATAGATAAAAAAAAATATACAGCAACTTGTCTTGTTCCTTTCTTATTTCCTTCCAAGTGTTTATATGGAAATAACAGTAAATTTGGCATCCTCAAAATCCACAAACAACATGAGAGTTCATTGTAATAATTCTCCTGAATGCGACTTGAATAGGGAAAAGGAAGGATGCATAATATGCATAGAGAATATTCTTAAGTTGTCATTCCTAACAAAAAATACTCACTAGAATTTGAAACTCAAGGACATTAGATGTTGGAGACATACCTCAAATAAGGCCTCAGCTAGTATAATTATTCGTGAAATACTTGCAAGGGTACTGAACTCTTCAGTTGTAAGTAATGGTTCACACGAACATGAACCATCAGGATGAAGGCCTGATGAGCAAAGATTTTGTTGTGGAACTTGGTTACCAAGGCCTTCAAGAACTCTTTCAGATGTCTGTATATGTAATACAGACAGGTTATTGGGATTATCATTAATGAATTCTAGGTATGAAAATAAAAAGAACATAAGGAAACATGATATTAAATGCCTCAAAAGAGAAGTGATATAAGTGCCAAGTAGTCCGTATTTGAAAGTAGCCTCACGATGCTACAATGACCAAACATAAAGTTAAGATGCATTTGTGCTCATAAAAAAATGTAGAATTATAATTACACATTTGTGCAAACACATAATTTTAAAACCAAAAAAAAATAAAATTGAAAAAACAAAGACTTCTTTGAATTGCTGCCATTATAGGCACCTTTGGTTTTTTCATGTAAGACAGCATGTCCTTAATAAAGAAAGATGTACATGGAAAAAGAAAGGGAAAATTAGCTGAGACCAATGTTTTCTTAAGATTTTCTACTGCAACTAGTGGAAAATATATCTTAAAAAACGATATTAAACGAGACAAAATGCAAGTTAACATTTGATATAATATAGTGTGTGAAACATAAATATGGATGATATGCCTAGATAATCAAGCTTTGGAGAGTGTAAGTAGTCTAGTAAGTATACCATAAGAGGGCTGAAAATAATTGGCCATCATAACAGACCAAAACCTCCTACAAAGAAGACTAGTGCATTTACCTTCTCCTGATATAATTCACACTCATTATGATCGAAAAATCTGTTTTTAAGTTAAACATACTCTCTATATATAAAAAAAAAACAAATGCAGGGATTGCCTATATCCACCTCAAACAGTCAAAAGCAAAGTAACAGAAAAGATCTTGATATATTACCTCAGATCTTGTTGTCTGTCTTTGTTCACTTCTGCGATGATTCCTACCAGCCCCATAACCAGAATCAAATCCAACCCCATCATAATGGAGATCACCATTCAAATCAATTAGCCATCTGTCACGAGATCCTAGATCATCAGCATGACCAGTTGCGAAAACAATGGTTGGAGAATCACTATGCCTTCTTAAACTGCGTCTTGATATAGCATCCCAAAAGAGCCGCCTACTGCTTCTTCTTGTTTCTTGACTACCTATATCAGCAATGCTACTAGATAAAATGTTGGAAGAGATACTCACCACATCAACATGTAGCACATCTTGAGATGAGTTTACTCCAAGCTCACTATCCAGCAAAAGAAATCCCGAACCTGAAGTTGTTGCTTCTTCAGAGGTATCACCCTCAAGAAATTGATGCCTTGGTATGGAGTCAGAAGTAACAGAAATAGATCTAGAATCAGAGCTTGACTCAATATGCACATCCCCGTGATTCTCGATTGAATCCCCATGTGAACATGAGCTTCTGCACTCTTCTGGCACAGTGTGAGAGTCTTCAGTATTCAAGCGCGTCAAAGATTCAGTACTAACAGCTGCAGCCAAGCTGTCTCTAGCCTGTGAAGAGACCGATTCTTGAGATGGTTGTTTCCAATTACAGTAGCTATATGACTATTCGTCCAAAATGTGAAGTTATGAACTTAGATAAGAACTAACCTGGTCACATATTGAATGTTTTTCATTTGAAATGCATGTATTATTGATGTTCACTTCGGCATTTATCAAATTATATTCAACAAAAGCATCATGACTAAGACCACTAGTGCTTTCTGATGAGGATCCTGTCTCAGGTTGAGTAGCATGACCAACTTCTGAACTAAATGTTGAAGAAGATTCTGCTATAGAATTCCGGGAAAAATCACCAACCAGAGGTTGGGGATAATCTTCAAGCTGTACAACACCATCATATCTCAATTTCAAATTTAAGGATGTAGATTACATGATAGGTTGAACTTGATAATAAGATTAAGTCAGCATGAAGAACAAGTAATATAACATATAATTTTCTACTGGACACTACTAAAGGGAAATTATTATTACACGTAGCAATAAACTTGAATTTCCAGCACGCAGTTCAAAAGCAGTAAAGCGAGTGCAAATTTGTTCAACCGAGGCGAAACTTTTTTCTCTGCTTCAACTCTTCCTTGAGCAATACAGCCTTTTAAAACACATTAGCAGCCTCTTTTAATCAGAGAAGCGAGCATGATACACATAGGCTCCTTACACGAATGTTAACGATGCACCATTAAACAATTTACAACCTTAAAAAGTATCTAGAAGCTATAACAACAAAAGAAAAAACTCATAACAGCATAGTAGAGAAGGACCGAACAAATACAAAATGCATGATACTATAGCTGCACCACCACTTGTTAAAGCCTGCCCACTACAACTTCCACATCTTTGGTAATATAAGGGATGAAATACGTTTAAATGGATTAAGAGTTTTAGTTTCTTGTAGGAAATGTAAAACACATGTCAAAGCTCAAAGGGACTTCCTAGCTAGAGAGCAACAATGAATACCATTCAATAAGCATCTAACTTCCAAGCACGAAGCAGATGAAGCGCGCTTTATCCCATTTACTTAAGTTCAACAATTTCAACAAAAAATAGCCTTTGTTAGATATCCTAGAAAAATCTCCATCCATCACAAATGAATTACCAAAATGCTAAAACCAAAAACAATCCCATTATTACCAATTATTCACCACAAGAAAGAAACAAAGCCCATTTAGGTTCATTACACCAGTCCCAACTGAAAAAACAAATGAGATGCATAGTGACCACAGAAACACAAAAGTCAACTCTGGACTCAGACTTCACTATTGGTAAATCAAATAAAGATGATAACTTTAAGGAAGTAACAAAAATACCCAAGAAAATAAAGGGGGAAAAGAAAAGCAACAAATTGAAGCAACCCCTTTTGACCATGATCAACACCTTGTTACTAGAATCAAATTATCAAGAATACAAAACAGATAAATCATATCAATAACTCAAATAGGCACCCCAAAACAACAAAAAAAATTACTTTTTTTTGTCTGAAACACACAAAAATATAGAAAGGTGGATAAAGATTAAGAAAAGTGCCTCATGGTCCAACTGAGAAGTGGAGGCACCACCACAGAAAAAAGAGGAAAGTTTGAGCTTGCTCCGTTTAGGTCTTGACCCTGACCTGGACCCGGATGATGATGATCTTATACGACTGCTACTGGAACCCATAATTTTTGTTGAGTAGTTGAAATAATGAAGATGATAACTCCAAAAATAGCTTATAAATAAATGACCAAAATTCTCAATTTCGGCTGTTTCCTATGAAGCTGCTCTCTTTTTCAATATATTATTCTTATTTAAATAATGTTCAAGAGAGCCGAGAGTATGTCAAAAGTGACAACTAAAATTAAAGGAAGCAGTATTATTTACTTTGGCCAACAGTTTTTACTCGTCCACTGTAATATTACAAAGATATATATCTATTTTTTATTTAAAAATATATTATTTTTAAAAAAATTATCCTCAAAGTTAATTTTTTATTATTTAAATTATTCTCCTAAACTAATAATTATAATTAATAAAAAATTTTACAATATGATATTTATATTAATTATTACTTTTTTAAAAAAATCAAATAAGTAACAGTGAACCGATAGAATATTTATTGGGTAAATTATATAAATCTCATATTTTTAATATGAAATTACAATCTATCCCTAATAAGTTTCTAATCACATTAATCTCTTAAAAATTAAAAAAACCAGATACAATAATTGAAGCTCGAATACATTAAATACTATCTCGGATACATTAATATGTAGCTCGGATACATTAAAAACTAGCTTGGATACATAATATATAGCTCGGATACAATAAAAACTAGTTCGGATACATTAAATACTAGCTCGAATACATTAATATGCAGCTTGGATACATTAAAGAAATAAGGGATTTTGGAGATTTTTAAAAGTAATAGAGAATAATGAAAATAAGTGAAACAAAATATGTGTATTTCTGTGATTTGTCGGTGTTGTTGCACTCATCACAAGCTTAATTGTTTATTTTGAAAAAAAAAAAAACCATTGATTTATTAAATTAAAATATTACGACCCCACATTTTGGTGTTCTTTTTCTTTTTCTCTCTTTTACGTGCCTTGTGGGAAAGTTTTTTTTGGTCGAGGATTACTAACCAAATGAAGAAATAGATTTTTTAGCCCTATTAAACAAATGCTAAAAATGAAGGATATGTTGATTATTTAAGTTAAAAAGGAAATTATTTGTGATGATTAGGTCTTGGCAGTTTTGAATGAGAAACTTAGGGATTGTTTGGTCGTTGGTTAGTAAATACGATATTGGATAGTTTTTTAGTTATGTTATATAAAAGTCGACAATATCAAGTATGACATTTGGTTACGTTTTATAATACTACATAAGTATATATTAGGTATAATTTATGAGCCAATTAGTATATTATATTGTGTAGAATAGAAGAAGCAGTAACTAATATACCAATAAATATTACCTAGCAACCAAACAACCTCTTATTGTCTTCAGCTAAAAAAACAACTTGAATATACAATTGCAAACCTTAAAATTACATCTAATTGATATGTAAATGTTTTAAGAGTAACAAATAATAATCAATACTATTATTTTTTAATACAGACTTTCATTATAATAACTACACATAAATACTATTTGAAGAAGTAAAAACACATGACTTGATGATAATAAATTATGTGGGAAGTGAAAATATTATTTTGTTATGGAAAACTTGGTGTATTAATTTGAAAGAGTCAAGATTTTCAGTTAGTGAATTATGTATTGGAGTACAAATTAATAGAATGTTACTTCTAAGTTAGGTTTGCTATGGAATTGAGCAAAAATATTGTTTCAATGTTGTGGATCACATGTCAACATAACATTAGATTATTTTAATACGCATAACATTGCATTATTTTAATATGTGCATAAGTTTTCTCAAATTAGAATTAGAAATAACTAACCAAAACATATTATGTATTTAAATGTTCGATTAAAATAAATGTTAGTTTTAAAATATAAATACAAACAATTTTAAGAAATTGTCTATATGTTTGTCTTTTTTCTTTACTAGGCCTAAGGTTGATATCATCATGAAGAAAGCTTAAATGGAAACACAACAAAAAATAAATAAATAGGAAAATCGATAAAGACCAAAGATATATTTTTATGGGGTCAATGCGCAAATATAGCAGGATGACTTATAACTCTAATTGAGAATTTTTGTTTTTATTTTAATTATTTTTCGTAAAAATAGGATGTGTGAGAAATGGTATAATTATTAAAACCGTTTCATACTTATTCCAAATTGATTATACAACAAAGAACCTAATATTTTATATGTTGTTTTATAAATTTGGTCATTATCAAGGAACTTGTTGCGAGATTATTCAAGCATATTCCTTTAAAAAATGAATTTTAAATTAAGAATTTCTATTTTTTATATAAAAAATATTTATTTCTTGAATAGGACCTTATATATATATATTTGTTTTATTTTGGTCCAGAATGTAGTTTAAGAAAATAAATAACAAATTTAAATTTTATGGTCTTGAATTAAAAATATATCAAAATATCATTTAATTTCTTGGTTTTAAACATGTCAAGCGAAAAATTAAATTTAAAAATTTATCCAAAAAAGGAAAAATATATTTTTAAAATAGAATAAAAAAAAAGTAGCACAAACAAATTAAAACGAACAGAATAAACATATTAGGATTAGTTTGAAACTTCACCTACCCTAGACTTTTGGAACAGGCATATAACAAGGTTTTCGGTCAAATCCACAAATAATTTCGAGCTTTTACGTGTCTCTCTCATTATACTGTCTAAATCAAGTTGTATTATCTTCGAATATGCTCTTAGATTATTTTAATAAAAAACAAGACAGTTCTTAGTTTTATATATTTTCTTACTTCTAACCATATAAAATTTTCAACATGTACCAAAAACAATGAGGCAGATTATATTTATCTTCATAATTAAAATTTAACAACAACTTCCTGCTAATCTTTTAAGAAAAGAAATGAACATTAACAACTATGATACAAGTTAATTAGCATCTAATAAACATTGGTATCATAATTAAAGTTTCTCAAAACTGTTTAACACAAGATACTACAAAAGCCGATCTAGAATTAGCTACTACACGTATCCAATGCAACCATGCTTCGATAACTTTTCATTTTGAGCCGAGGGTCTATTGGAAAAGCCTCCCTACCCACAAAGGTAGGGGGGGGGGGTAAGGTTTGCACTTGTGGGATTATACTGGGTATGTTGTTGTTGTAGCTACATGTATCGAGTTCTATCTTATATATAAGCAGCAGCTGGTTGCATTTGAAAGCTACCTGTGTTAATGTAACTTGATAATCTGCCTCAATTGCCAGATCCAAGAGTACATCATTCCGAATGCACAGTATATGCTGATCATCATAAGAGGCAAGAAAGGAAGCCTCTCAGCAAAGAGAATAGGATGAACAAATTGTCCATATATCTCAACGGCCACGAGACCTAGCAAGTATAACTTCCCAAACCATCCAACGATGAACCTCGTTTTATCATATTTCGTCTGTTCAGTTTCAGCTGCTTTTCTATGAGTTGTTGTAAAATGAGAGGAGAATCCAATCCACATCAGTGTAGCATGTAAAAGCAGTAAGAGAACCTTAATTGGATACTCTTGGGCTTCAAATAACAACGGAAATAGAGAATAGCAGGACACTGCATGCACAGCAGGGTTTACGTGTTAGTCTCTGGAAATATAAGCTACGGAGTGGTGCGAAACCAGAAAAAGAGGAAGAAAAGTAGGAGATGCAGCAGCACAACAACAATAGTAACAAAAATAGTATGCAAAGGAAGAAATTTAGTAGTGTAATATTGATAGATACCCTATCTGCAAAGATTTCAAGAGCCCCCAACTAAATAAGGATAATTTTGAGGTCGGACATGATTTACCTGAGGCAACGGTGTAAAAATGGATAGCTCAAAACACACTATAACAAACCTAACCAACATACGGTAAGTATTGAACACAATGAGTTTTACTCTTAGTTGTGCGGACTCTTCACTTTTGATGCATCACCCGTCTCGGATTCTTCAAAAATACACTACTTTTGGTGAATCCGGCACGCACCCGTTGGCATTTTTGAAGAGTCCAAGCAACATAGGTTTTACTTACTGAGCACTTCTATTAATACAGTAACTGATGGAACAATACTAAAACTAATGTGTTTTTCCATATTCCAATGGTGATTGCAGTTTTGATTTTCTGAAGAAACAAAAGACTCATAGCAAATCGATAGCTCCCTATATCTTCTATCTAGGGAAAAGGAAAAGGAAATGATAAAACTTAAAGCTGGTTATTTCAGGTAATCTCGTGCAATTAAAACTCACAGGTATAATTCCTGCAACATAATAGTGAAATCAAAATGGAGGATCAAAATGTTGTTAATGATAGGATAGAATCATGAATCTTTTGATGAAGAGAAAGAAACTGATGTCAACCTGGTCTTAGGATCGTTTAATGTGATTCTACTAGCTCAAGGATTAGATTCCATGGTTGAAGACCATTTGACTATAGTGTTTTATCCACACACACCAAAAAAGGCTATTTGTCTGCAGTGGCCGATTTAATTGTACCGCAGAATAGAAGAATTTGTTGAATCCTCTCCGCAGTTCTAGTCCAAGTAGATTAGTTAAGAAACTCTCATGTTAACTTTTGCTTTAACAAACCTTTATTTTATCCTAATAGTTATAGGTCTCTCAATAACTTCTCACAAAAGAGCAGTTACACCAGAAAATAGGAAAAGCTTTCTGCGCAAAATCAATCTTAAACATCAAGGACGTTAGCAAGGTCATAGATATTTTTGCATGAAAACCAAAAATGGGGATTTAAGTAGATATATACAAATCATGTATGCCACAATCTGGTTTAATACCAAATTCTTCGAGTTGTTTTCTAGATAAACCAAATTCTTGTACATTTTCCAGTGGAATTTAATTGTGATGCCTAGCAATTATGCAAGGTATAACTGATTCATCATGGTAATGATAAACTATACTGCCAGCATTTTTGGAAAATATGTTTTGACCAATTGCAGTATCATGATGATTTATGAGATAAAATAATGACATTAATAATAGAATGGTGCTTGGAAGTAACACTTAGGGTGTGTTTGGTATGAAGGAAAACATTTT